CACTCGGGACGTCGTCAGAATTCACAATCAGGAAATCATTGCCACTTGCTTTGATTGTAGATGAAGTGTCCAGTTTGATCACATTCTGTACTGTAACAGGAACTATACTAACGGGATCAGTTTCTGGTTTTGGAAGTAAAAAACCATAATTAACAACTTTTTCAAATCCTTCTTCAGAACCATTTCCATTGCAATAAGCATTTTTTTGCTCTTCAGAATCATTCTCAGATTTCTTGTTTTCTGCGATAAAACACATATTTGATCTAAATGAAGAACCATCAATTTGGAATTCACCTTCAAGTCTCTCTATAGGTTTGTTGCCAAATTCCGTTAACTGTAGCTCTGCCGACTTAAATTCAGGAGAACCTATCTTCTCATGTATATCTTCCCGGATTAGCGTTACTTGACTACCAGTATCTATTAAAGCATCAGTTTGCAAATTACCCAAATTAACAGTTTTATGCATTTCTTTCTGACAAGTCTGAGTTATTGGAGTAACAGCCTTGGCATCTTGGATATTTTTAGATGATGTTTTCGAACAATCTACGGTTTTGTGTCTAAACAAATTGCATTTAAAACACTTAAATCCTTTACTCTTATTGTTACAAAAATTAGATTTATGACCTAAACTTCCACAATTATAACACCTCTGTTCTTTACTCTTATTGGGTATAGAGCGTGCTTTATTTTGTGTGTTATTACTTGAATAACCTTTATTCTTCGTATCTGGAACGCGAATTTTCTCATAAATTTTTAATTTCTCTTTGAATTCAGAAATAGTTTTACAACCGTACAAAACAATTTTGTTACTACTCTGATCTGGTATCCCATTGATTACGTAATCAAGAATTGATGAATCATCAACAGAACCGCGACTGGCTATTTCACGCATGGCAATTAAATATTCGGAGAGTGATTCACCAGGTTTTAAGTGTCGTTTCTGTAACAAATTATGAAGTTGTGCACTGTTTATTTTAGAACCAAATTCAGATAAAAGATTTTCTTTTAATTTGTCCCATGATATTATACGCTTCAAAGACCTAATAAATACTTTAGCAGAACCAGTAAGCAATTTTTTAGCAAACACAATTTTCTGTAATTCCGATAACTTAAATAATTTAAAAGATTCTTATAAATCACCAATGAAGGATTCAACTGGATATGTATCAGTGCCATTAAATTCAGAAACAGTTTCTAAGATATCACGAAAATGTAGGGAAATATTGCTAGGCATTATAATGTTTTCATTCACTGAGTTATTTATGGGAGGTGATTCTGACCGAACAGAATTAATATCATTATTTTATCAGAATCATAAACACGTTTCGTTTTCAGGATAACTCATCATCGTCATCACTTTCGAATTTTAAAAGCTTAAAATCACAAAGACTATTCAATATTAAATCACAGTTTTTATCAGGATTTGAGTCATAATTAAGATGTAACAAATTACACACAGAAATAAAATCATTTGCAGTAAAAGCTTTAAGTAATTTTTGTTTTGTTTCTTCAATATTAAAATCAGATGGAAAACCGCAAAAGTTACGCAATCTAGCTCTATTTTTTCGATCACCCAAAGTTCCAAACACAATTTGATGTAAAAGTTTAATTGGCCCAGTCTTTAAAGAATTTGAAATTCTAGGAATAGAATTTAAGGTAGTCATCTTAATTCACAGTATCATAGAACACTATTTCTAGAAGTAACAATGTGGAAATAATCGAAACAAAACTTACTTATTTTGTAATATTCATAATGCTTCTTCTTAGGCTCATACCGGCCTGAGCTCCCAAATCTATAGAATCGGTACTTACTGTCTAGGAATATGATGTTCGTAAACTTACATCCGATGTGGCTGTCTAGGGGCTAATAAACTAGTCCGATTTATGTAAAACTTGAATATTTAAAGAAACATGAATAGTTGCTACAAACTACAAAGTAATTACATACGTAGAAGGAAATAGATGAGATTATTTACAAACGAAGAGAAGGAATCGTATTTTATAAGCAAACATCTTTGAATCGCGTCATCGTCTTAATGCCGGCCGGAATCGTCTGCCTTCGTCATCGAAAAAGTAAAAGATTTATTTTCACAGCTTGTCGCGTCCTCCGATTATAATGAACGATGCCATCCCACACTACTATAGTGCATTTAATCACATATTTAAATCATGTACTCTTAAATGTAAAATAACATAGTTAACAACATATTGAAAAATACACGATTTGCTACAAATAAATCAATGTTAATTAATAATAAATTTGTGTATCGCTGCACGATGGGAAAACTATGATTACAAGCTGGCAGTGTAAAACAGAACTGTTAAGAAGAAACTATAACAACAGTGATAACAAATGTATCCTTGTATTGGAAGTTGCTTTTATCTAAAACAGTAGGTAATTTAATTGTGCACAAGTGAGTATATAAAAGTTGTTAAATCACCCATTAAAATATATTGCCTTACTATAAATCAAATATACAGCAATTAATTATTTAATATATATTAATTTATAATTCACATAGTTTATTAACATTAATATTTATTAATTTATAAATAACGTAACTAATTAACATTAATTTATAATTAATTATAATGAATTATTATTTAATACCTTCCTTTCTAATGACATTTATTCTCCCATTATGTGCAGAATTATTTTAGTTTTGAATATTGATTTAATTTACGTAACCAATTAAACTTTTTTCCTAGACTAAGGTACTTTTTAAGTTTTAAGGTACTTTTTAAGTAGTTATAATTAATGCTGCTTATTCTTTATTGGGTCTGGGTCATAATCCCGACAGCCAAAATCCCGACAAGCCAGAATCCCGACTGTCCAAAACCCCGACAGGGCCGAAATACCTACAACCCAAAGTCCCGACACGGTCGAAATCCCGACAGGGTCAAAATCCCGACAAGCCAGAATCCCGAGTGTCCAGAATCCCGACAGGGTCGAAATCCTGACTGTCCAAAATCCCGACAAGTTAATATCTAAATACAAACACTCAATTTAGCTTAATAAAATACAATTTTTAACTAACTATTACATATTACTAATTAAAAGTTTAAATCAAAAAAATCATAAAAATTATGTCATTACTTAAAATAATTTTTAAAAAATTGAAATGACCGTTAAAATTTGAAATGAAAATTTATAAAATTCTTTTTATTAAGAAAAAGAAAACATCACTTACACATGCAAACGACATATTTAGTGACACATTGTGAGCGATAGCACGAAGATATTCCATCACAGGTCGATTATCACGATCGTCTACATCAGTCATAATTCTCCTTTCTCTGTCATCATCTACCTTCCTACATTTTGGTTGTTGTTTTCCTCGAAGAATGCATTCAACTTGGTATTCCACATGCTCCTGTTCTTTTTGAAATCCTTCTATGATGTTATAAACGCCAACATGGGCCGTCCAATTAAGGTCTCCCATCTTCTGTGCCAATCCTCGACAGCATTTTGAATGCGCGGAGCATTTATAGCTGCCTTTTCTAGATCACTAATGAATCTAGATGGCCTCAATTCAATATTAATTTCTTCAGCGAAATCAATTAAATCTTGGAATAATCTTTTGTAATTTTCTTCAGATTTGCTAGTTCAAAGCATATACTAGTTGCAGCTGTGGATGTATGTTAAGGGATCATTAGGCCTTTTTGGGATTTCGCCCGTGTCATTAGGCCTTATTGGGATTTCGCCCGTGTGTATTTTGACCCTGTCGGGATATTGGACAATCGGGATTTCGACCCTGTCGGGATTTTGGCTTGTCGGGATTTCGACCCTGTCGGGATTTTGGCTTGTCGGGATTCCGTCTGTCGGGATTCTGGCTTGTCGGGATTTCGGCTGTCGGGATTATGTCCGGATACCTTCTTTATTATACTTCTTTTCCTGTTCTCGTATTTAATGTGGTTTTGAGTTAACCCTAGATGTTATTCTTGGTCTAACGTGGCTAATCGGTATTTGAATATTCAACCTTTCAGCCCTGCATTGAGACCCCCCCGAAAAAAGTTACAAATGTAAAAAGTCTACAAAATATTGTTTATGGATATTAAAAAAATTCCCTTGAAACATATTAAGAAGTTCCTGCTTGAGTTGTAGATACTAAAATGCTGAGACAATTGCCATCATCAGGTAACAATTCATAAAGATATAAATATAAATTATAATTTTGCTAACGCTTATCGTACAAGGAATGTTTTAAAACAGTATTAATTAATTTTTTTATGTTAAATAAAGTGGTAAAAATTCATAAAAATATAAACATAGATTATAATTTTACTAACACTTATTGTACATGAAATGTTTTAAAACAAATAAAAATTACAAATAAATTACAAAATGTTCTTCACAAGTTTTCATTTTACAAATCTGTTCGTGGCCCTATTTATGCAGTGGCCAGTATCCAGTATTGTCACATCTTACGTCGTCGACCAAAACTACGTGAGACTAGAGTCATTCCGAGAGTCTGTTGGAATAGGTTAATTTCTAGGATTGTGGATCCTTTATTATGGTCTGTCTACTCTTAATGGCGTGTTGACAGCGAACTCAGAAAATTCTAAACTTTGTGCGAATGACATAGTGAATTATAACTGAACTACCGCTCATTATATCATGCTAACCAAAAATAATCTCTGTTCCAGATAAAATAGACCTCTAAATATGAAGGTGGCAAATGTCATCAGCAGGGCCGAGACAGTTAAGGTAAAATTAAAGACATAGTAAAATTAATAATCTCTCGTACTTATGTTTCAGAATTTGCGCACTTCTCATTATTTAAAAACTAAGAATGATTGCTTAAGATATAGGATTTGTAAAGTACATATACACGATAATATGCTATAATAAGTAAATTAAAATGATTACAGATTTGATTTCTTTGCAATAGTGATCTCATTACTACCTTTATCTTTGTAACAAAATATAGCTTTGTATGTAAAAGCAAACTTTACATAATGAGAGCATTACAATAAATAGGAATTTTTCTCTTTTCAGTTACTCCAGAAAAGATAAAGAAAGATACTAAAGAAAAAAACCTAAACATTGGCTGCATATGGTTAACAAGTCTTCCAACTATTTCGTAACATTTCATTGGATCCATATGTCTTCCATATTTTATCAAATATATTCTTATTAAGAGTTGTTACAGACATACCTATAGATAAACGCTGTAAAGTTGCTTTATGACAAACAATAGAACGCAACATTTATAGAATATATGAATGTTGGATCAGTTGATATCCAAGAGGAAAAAATTATTTATATTCTGTAAAACGCAAAACGTGGATCAGTGTGAAGGAATTTGCCTGAAATAGGCAACGTAGCGAAAGAATGACTCACCACAAAACACTATTTTTAGAATGGAATTTGTCTTTAAGATCTTTTTCTAAGTAACTTAAGAAATGCACAATTTGATTAAAGCAGTCTTCCATGATTATGCTAGTATCACCAGGCAGTTAAAGCTGCCTTTAACTTGAGAATTCAGTATACTCGAGATTATTTTCATCCATGGTTTTGACAAGAATCAACAAAAAAATTAAGCAGTGTGATAAGAAGTTAAAAACAACTAAGAAGTACCGTTCCATTTACCGGCTGATGTTCTTGAGTGCTGGAGCTTTGATGTTTCTTTACATTCTTCTTGTTCTCAAATGGCAAATACACAGGCAGTAAGGTACACTTTCAAGAACCAGTGAGTTAGTTTGGATTGTTACCACATATCAAGATCTAGAATTTGGTGCTCAGCAGTTTTAGGCGAGAGTGTTGTCAACAACAGCTTAGGTGCTTCATCCATGAAACTGTAAACCGCCAATTTCAGCGATTTTACAATGGCCTGGTACATCTTCAACCTGTGGCAAAGTATTCGCGCCTATCTTCCAGGGTCTTGTGGAGATCGGACTGAACTGGATCACTTCGCCAAACATGGGCACAACAAATCAGACACAGAGTTGTCTTCTTTCCGACATACGGGAGAAACGGGAACAGCTGAACCAAGGATAGCAGGGACAGAAGACTACGACACGGATGCACCATATACCTCTCCTACTGGAGGAGAGTTTGAAAGTGAATTTGGTGGCAAAGGATCTGAGATTGATGAATGGCAAGCTGGATGGAATGTCACCAATGCTATACAGGTAAAATATCAGTTTTAAAATAAGGTAATTTCCCTGCCGCACCCTGTATATGTCTTGATTCACTACCCAGGAAAAATCTAGAATAGCGAACATGCAGAAAAAGTCTAGAATCTCAGTCATGAGATTGCAATTAGAGTGGTTTTACCGAACCACCATCCTCATCTGCAAAAGCGCAAATGAACGAGATAGGATCTCGTTCTTTTGCGGACCATTTGAGGATGGTGGTTCGGTAAAACCATCGAAACTAGTCCTGTGAAAATTTGAAAATATAACGCTGATTTTTGTTGTTTGACTTCTGAATTAGTATTTGTTCGGCGTGTTATTGTGTCTTAATTTTAGTGTATGTTTAGCATTTTGTGTACTTTTAATTGAATCTTTCTGGCTTCTATTCTTACAGACGCTCGCCACTTTCTACGATCATTTAAATGCTTTCTTTCTGCCATGTTAAATCAGGAAAGTCAAAACTAAGAATTCTCATTAACTGAAAATACTTTTATAACAACTGTAATCCGTGTCTTAACTCCTGTATTAACGTATAATGGTTGAGAAGACATTCTAGCTAGTTAAGTGCCTTTACCAGTCACGCAACCTCAAACGTTCTGTTAACTGTGGTGCTGAGCTATCCCTTTAACATGAACTCACTGTAAAATCAAGAAACACACAAAGTTGATATTACAGTGGTGCTGGGAACATGTCAATTGGAATGTGTCTGACTGGGGCAATGCCATGTTTGCTGATGAGTCAAGATTTGCTCTGGAGCCAGATGACAAGTGTATAAGGATATGGCGTGAACAACGAATACGCAATCAATCCCAAAACATCACCGAACATCACGCATTCCGAGGCAGAAGCATTATGGTGTGGGCAGGGAAATATTAACTTTATTTTCATTACCACTTGTGAATTAAATTTTAAATAATGCAAGCATAAAACATGAGTTTCTTTGACTCTCAGATAATGGCTAGAATATGCAACAGTTTAATTGGTTAATACAACATTAGTACTTTTCTTTAAAGTCACCAATCGCACTTCGGTCGGACAACTTAATTAAAATCATACTTACCAACCTATGGCAAGTGTCTGGTGATTATTCTTAATCGGTAAGTCGACGTCTGTAGCAAGAGCAAAATATCTCTACTACAAGTCATGCGGTTGCAATTCTTCCTCTCAATTTAAACTACGTCCCTTAGTCATAAAATCTGCGTAAACTTCTGGACTTAATGAGCAAGTGACGAAAGGAGGCATAAAGAAATGCTAGAAAATAAACTCTCGCTAAACTGTCAGTTAAATGAAATGTCACAAACGCATTCTAAATTTGCTAATTATTATGTATGTAGAAGCTTTCTTATATCGTTAATTAAATAAAGCATTTTAAATTTACCATTTTAGTGAAATGTTTTGCTAAACATATAGAAACTTCTAAGTTTCTTCTTCTTTTCTTTTTTTTTGAAGCAAAAAATGTGATAAATTAATAGTACCCTCGTTACGATTCAAGCCACCGATCTTCTAGCTGCAAGCTGGACTTGCTAATACGTGCACAGCTAAAATACGCATAGAAGGTTGTGATAATTCCATATTTTCGCCCCCACTTCAAAGGCGTGTGAAAAAAAAACACGAGACCCAGCACATTAAATCCGACTGGTGACGAATTATCATCTAACACATTTAAGTTTGAGTGTCACTGTAGAAAAGCATTAGTTTTCTTAAATCAAGAAACATGGAAACCAGATGTGCCTTCATCGGGATTCAAACCACAGATCTTCGACATTTTAGCCGGTCGTGCCAAACAGCTACACTGCAAGAGTATGCACGAGAAAATACGATAATTTGTAAAAGATGGAGCATAAAATTGTGATTGTTTACTTTTTGCCTGATTATCATTTAACTTTTCGTACCAGATTATTAGACATTCTACATATTATGGACAATTGATATTTACGCGGGAATATTGAGCATTTTTCTAGTTTTTCTAAATTCATTTGCGTATATTCAAATTTTTAACTGTATTTTCTCTATTCTAAATTTTTGATTTTCATGAATCTGTTATCTTCTGTAAATTGGCGATTCCGTTCACTTGTCATTTTACTCTAAATTTAAGCTGCAAGTCTTCTACAGAAATGAATGGCTTACGAAAAAATAAGGAAGAATTAAAAAACGGACGATTAAAATGCAAAAATTACCCATTTGCAAAAACAGAAATTTTCTTTACATTTTGGTGGCAGCATCGAGAACTCATACTCTTCCTCGAATATTAGTGACATTGAATTTACACTTACTTTACCCTGTTTTTAGTTGAAGGTCAATATTTTTTTCTTTAGATAGTGTTAGACTTTGCTATGAATTATTTTCCCATCAGTCACTCTGACTCTCAGTTTAGCAGCAAGCTAATCGACGATGATTATACCCATGATAATTTTTTTAACTTTTTAAGAATTTGTCATATGTTTAAGTCTTCCTTCATGTAAACAAGCTCAAGTTTTCAATTTTTCAATGATTATTACGCTAATCAAAACGTTAAAGTATAAGAGATATTCTCATTACGCAAATAAGCTAGCAAAACATCAAATTTATTAAACTGAACGCCATCTTTTTGTCTCTTTTAATGCTACTTTTAATGTTAGGCGAAAAGCAGACAGCTAATTTGCTTAGATTGGGGGTAATTAATGTTGCTGTAATATATATTCTTTTGAGGTCTATCAGATTAAAAATATCTTCTTTTAATTAAAGGCATTTTTTTAAAGTTTTTTTTTTACATATACGTTATTGTAATAACACGGTTATATTTCTTTATTAGTTTTACTTAGCATAGTCTTTTCTTGAATTTACATTTCTGCAATTTGTGTGATACTCTTGTTATCAGCCAAATAAGAAGATATAATCGAAACTTCTGCAATTCGTAGAATGAACTCTACATACATCAAGCCTATTCTTACTGAAATGAAATTAATCTTCGCGAACATATAGGGATCACTAAACATTTCTCAAAAGAAAACATACAAAAATCGACTGTGTATTTGCTGGGATACGTCTAATATTTCATTAAATTTAAGCTTGCATTTTTTCCATTCATTCAAAAGATCTTTTTTAATTGAGTTACTAAAATTTTTCAAATATTATTTAGAAATTTATAAATATTATAAATTATTATTATTAAAAGAATTTTACCAAGCCATTTCATATGAAGTATATTTATTTTCGATGCTCACCATAAATTACCAAGATTCATAAAACTCCATTTTGCAGAGCTACGAAAAACGAAAGAACTAATATGGAACATAAATGGCCTAACTGAAAATCAGAATTCGAAAACTGGGCTGTGAATTGTTTAAATATTCAAAATTATCTTTATTTATAAATCAATATTTCATATGACCATATGATACAATCTAGCTTTAATATTTAAAAAAATTCTTTAAGTTTCCTTTGGATTCGGTTTCAAATGATAAATTCCGCATTTTGAAGTAAAAAATGGCTTTTTTTTTTTTTTTTTTGCATGAAACAAGGTCTTATCACTTTTAGCTAACGCCAAATATAGACTAAATTTTGGTAGGTTTTTATTAATAAAGTGAAATGAAATCATGTTCTGATAGTCATAAAATTTAGAAGATTTATCGAATTTGATAACAAACTCACTAAAAATTTTAAAATGTCTGTAACACTATCGAGAAAAATAAGGTTTTTTCTTAATGAATAAACAATACCTAAAATAATATAGCGAATACAGCAATGAGCATAATCAGTAGATTATTATCAGGAAATCAGAGTAATGAACAAGGAGATATATTTAACATTATGTCTAGAATTTGATGATAAAATTCGCCAAATAAAGCCAAATTTTGTGAATCAAAATTTTTTTGTAAGCTTATATATAATAATGCATTAAATTTGATGGCAAATACTCGTAAATTTAAAACTTCTGGAAATGTATCAAGCAGAAATAATGCATCCACAAGACAGTATATCAGTATATCAAAACTACCAAAGAATATGATCAGTAAATTAGAAGCTTAGATACAATACAACACATAGATAGATTAGAACACAGATAAACTAAGACGGTTAATGATAAAATCGACATTGCCGGATAAAGTTATATTTTGTCAGTCTAGGAGCTTAAGTAAGATGACTTAAGATTTATCAAATTTGTTGATAAGGGCACGTAAATTAAAAAATATCTGTAATTCTAGGAAAACAAGTACAGTAAGACGCGGGGGATACGTTCCATCAAAGTAGAGCGTAATGCGAAACAGCGCTAAACGAGGCTATCTTTACATGTAAATATTGGGGTTAGGGGAAGATGGCTAGGAAATTGGTTAGGTATTAAATTTAAAAAGTATGTTTTTTTAATAAAAATAAAAACCAAACATTTATTTCTTAAAGCCCAAATTAATACCACATTATTATTTCCTTGCAAAAATAAAACAAAATATAAATAACAAACGAATATTCTTAAAAAAAAAATAAATAAAATAAAATTCTAAGTCAGTCATATTTAGTTAGCCTTACGCGTTTTCAGTGTTCTGCCTTTTTGTGACAAAAGCATCTAATGTTGTTTGCCTTTTTCTTTTGCGTTGTTCTCTTAAAAGTTCTTCATAAACGGATAGAGCATCTCTAACATCACGCCTTACTTTTGAGCTCCTGTCGAAATTCGGATCATTTTCAATGAATTGATCCATTATTTCAATTATGGTAGACAAACTCCTTTTTACAAACGCCATCGAAAGTTCTTTTTGCTCTTCTTCTGAATCACTGCTGTCAACATTTTTGTTTTCTTCTTGTTCAGTTAATTCCTTGAGCCTCATCATTAGAAAGACTAGCCGCTGCTTTTTGAATTATTTCTTCGACATCTTCCACGTTTACCCCTTCAAAATATGTCTGTACAATACCGCACCAAACAAGAAATACAAATACACTCTTTCGGATATGTTATTTGAAACCTATCGCTGCATAATATTTCGGGGAATCCCCGTATGCTGCGAGCGATTTCGTGGAATCCCCGG